AAGAGAGAGAGAGAGAGAGAGAGAGAGAGAGAGAGAGAGAGAGAGAGAGAGATGGTGGAGTTCGAGCATGTGGTCAGTTGTGCCGCGCGACGCATTGCAAACCATGCTGGCCTTGTGACACTGCCCCTTGTGAAGATTTCGCTGCTTGTTGTCGAAACTTCGCTTGCGCAGCGCAAGCATTTGGCTTTCGCAGTTGGTGTTTCCTACGGCTGTGGTAGATGACTACCATGGAAGTCCTGGCCATGCATGCCCGTGCGCTGCATGATGAGCCCTGGAAATCAGTTCGTCCCTTGCTTTGCATTTTCGTAGGTGTGTCAGTAACGTAGCAAGGGCTTGCAAGCTTGCAGCTTGCGCGCGTCAACTTGCTTCAGGGCCCGGGAAGATCAAGTGGACGGAGGATGATGTAGCAGCCTGTTTGCAATCCCTTTCCTTCAACTGCGTGCAGCGAAGCACTCATCCCACACAGTCCCGATGCAGTGCCCTTGCTGAAGGAAAAACTGGCATGTGACATGGCCAGCAACCTTTCTGAGCGAGCAGCTGCGATCATCCGTGGAGATGAACTGCCGAAAGGATGCAAGGTGATTTCCTTGAAGAGTGAGATCTCCAACGCTGGAGCGAAGGCTTCCCAACTCAGGTTTGTGTGCTGTACATACTTCCAGGCCTCGTTCGTTTGATGCAGTATGCCTGTGCAGGAAATCGGCAAGCATTATGCGTTTCTGTATCCGATTTGCAAGCGCTTCCCGGATCGTGTTGCTCAACAGCGGTTTGGTTCTTGGCTTTTGTAGTGCAGCATAAGAAGCTCTTTGGCCCCAGGTGCCCAGCGGCTTCTTCTTGACAGATGTATGGCTCCGGCTGAACAACAAATTTTCTGGGGGCCTGGTCAAGCCTCTGCCTGAAGATGATGTCGTCTCGCACGCGGGGAAGGAGGCCAAGCGCCTCAAGAAACTAATGGGCTCACTCCGCTACCTGTTCAGAAACGGCAACGAGGATGCATTGCTGTCCACTGTGTGAGGTAAATATAGCACCCGGAGCATTGCTCAAATACTTAGGAACGGAATCCAACGATCACCGTGTTTCGACCCTGAAGAAACTCCTCCTGAAGTCGCCTTCGCGTGGCTCGAAAAGCCAAGCGGTTGCGGCTGCAGCTCCGGGGAGTCCGGTAGCGGCTCTTGTTGATAGGCCCAAGACCCCGTCAGTGCTCGACAGTCTTCGGCGAGCCAGTCCTGCTAAGCGCTCCGCGAAAGCAGAGCGGATGCTTCGTGATGATGTAGGCAAAGGCAAGCCTTTCAGTGGAACGTGTGTGCTGTGATGCGCACTGATATCTCACACAACAGCCCGTGCATGCACAGGCGACTCGGACACAGACGCCAGCGAGATGGCGAGCTCGACTGAGGGCGCCGACAGTGAATCAGACTTTTCGGAGGACACTCCGCGACCACTAAGCAACCCTGGAAATCATAAGCTCAAAATGCCCCTGTGCAGGACGAGTGCGTATCGCCGGGCAAGGATGAGGACGAAGACGTGGAAGAAGGCCCGATCCTATCGACCCCGCATCTTTAGAGTTCCTTTTGGCGCATGTGTCGGGTAATGCTGAAGGCTCTACGGATGTGGGCGATGCAGACAGAGCAGGCTAGGCAGTTTCACGGTATGGTGACAGTGCCAGTGACTCATCAGCTGACAGGCCGTGCAGCTGTAGGGCCTAGGGATGATGAAGATAATGATGGTGCCCAGACGATGATGCGATGAGTTACATGAAGATGAAGATGAAGATGATGAACATGATGATGATGATGCTGATAATGATGTCGTTGACGGCCGTTTCTATGCATGGTTGCGGTGAGGCTGGTGTCGGTGGTGATGATTATGAACGATGTGTATGTAAAGTTTCGCACTTCCACCCCACCCATATCGTAAACCGTATATTATGCACACCCGGCTCTTGAAACCAATGCTTCTTGCACGCAATAAATGATGCGGGGCAACGGTGTATGTGTATACACACATGAGTAGATTAATCTATGGGGGCCTCTTATAATCGCCCTCAGCCCTCGGCTCCTCGGCTGATTGATGGACTCATGGGGTATCCTGATTCCTAGTTTAGGGTTCGTCGATGATTATGCCGATTATGTATTGCTTGGAGTAGCTGAGTAGCTCTAAACTTCGAAGCCTACAAGCCCTCAGCATCCCTCAACCTAAACCCTCGGGAAACAAACTGACAGCATATTATGGCAACCACCATACTACCACTGCCCTTCCACTATCACTGCTGCTGCTATTGCTACAACAACTCCTCTAGCGCTACTACTACTACTACTACTACTACTACTACTACTACTACTACTACTATTACTACTACTTGCTACTACTACTACCACTACTACTACTACTACTACTACTACTACTACTACTACTACTACTACTGCTACTGCTGCTACTGCTACTGCTACTGCTACTGCTACTGCTATTGCTACTGCTACTGCTACTGCTACTGCTACTACTACTACTACTACTACTACTACTACTACTTCTACTACTGCTACAACTACTACTACCACTACCACTACCACTACCACACCAAAAAAGTACTACGCTACGACTCCAGCTGCTGCTGTAACTGTACTACTTCGACTGCTACTATACTGCTCCCGTCTCCTCTCCATAGTTATATTAAAAATGACAATGCACTAAAGACATAGGCAAAAATAAACTAGAAAGGCGCTGCGCCGGCGGAGCCAAGCAGCTCTTCCGAGCCAGGCTCGGCACAGCCGAGCACGACTCTCGGAGCGGGTTTGGGTTGAGGGCTTTAGGGTGTTGAAGGGTTGGGGGTTAGGGTCGGTGAGTCAACATACTTCGGCAGGGACGGCTTGCGGGCTTATCGTCAGCGTTGGGTAGGAAGATATTGAGTGCATACGGTGCTTTGGCTTCTGCACATCTGGTTCTGGTTGCTCGGGCTGCATATGGGCTTAACATGTATTGTAGGTATATATACAGATAGACGGATGGAACATGCATATATGCATGTATGCATGTGTGTTTTAGTTTGCGTTTCTCTGCATATAGAAAAATGCATCTACAGAACTTTCTTTATATATATATACACTTAACTATTTATGAATTTATATTCTAGCAATGCATACACGCACATGCATCTGTGTGTGTATGTATATATATATATATATATATAATATGTACACGCTTGCATATGCTTACAAACATGTGCGTATATACGTACAGACATACATGCACACACACACAGACACGTGTATGTCGAGGCCTCATTGAGGCTTCAGGATTTGGGGTATGGTGTTTAAATGTGCAAGTTGTTTGGTTGTCGTGCCCCCTTAGACCAAGCTTCAGGATTTGGGGTATGGTGCTAAGGTGTGCCACCTGCTGTGTTGTTTAGTCTTCTTGCCTCCTTAAGACCAAGCTTCAGGATTTGGGGTATGGTGCTTAGGTGTGCCACTTGTTGTGTTGTTTGGTCGTAGTGCCGCGGTAGACTCAGACTCTGATTTTGGCTTTTCCAGAGTCCAGTATGCGGGTGCTTTATATCAGGTTGGCTGCGGGTTTACGGTTTTGTTTTTCAGGAATTTAGGTTTTCGGTGATTCTCTTGAAATTTCGTCGTTGTCGGGTCTTCTTTCAAGAGCAATGCACAAAGATACTATAGGATTAGCATGGCCAAGCAAGAATGGCACGCGCACAGCCACAAATCGAGAAGTGTAGCAGCATGTCTTGGCCCCGACAGGGTCGATTGCCGATGATGACAGCCAGCGGACTTTGCGCTTAGGCCCGATAGGTAGACTCAGCCCTCCTGCATTTCCGGTACATACTCACTCGGAGGCGAACACCTGGAGAACTCGGACGACGATGAGTCTGCGGACGATGAGAGTGGAGAAGGACGCAAGATGGACTGTCGTGAGTCTTTACATAACCTTGAGAACTATATATGTGTCAGGGAGTGATGATGGATATGACCGCGTCAGCCTGGGAACATGTGTCACGATCGTGACTGAAGGAGGCTATCTACTTACCATATTAGCGCATGCATGTCATGCCAAAGATCAGGTTTTTGCTTTTATGCTTCGCGAGGCTCTACGAGCTACGCGACGGACGTCGAGCAGATCGAGGCCGAGACACCCAAGGCAGGCAGTGCACCGAAGGAGTACTCGAGTATGAAGACGCCACCCCCGAACGCCCCGGCATGGATGAGAGCCGACCGTGCTACCGAGATCACCCCGCCGCCTGTGCCGCATGTGGACAACAAGGGTACGAAGAACAAGACCGATCGCAAGAAAAGCGGGAAGGCAAGTTTTTCCAGGAAGAACAAACGTCCTGCTTCGATTGCGGAGTTCAACAAGGCCTACAAGAAGGCGAAGGCGGCGCAAGCAAACGAGGCCTCCGCTGGCTCCGATTCCGAGCCGGAGAGTACCGAGCCTTCGGGAGAAGGGGCACTGGTGCCCCGTGAAGCTGCAGAGGGCGATGCGCCCGCACCGGCAGCCTCCTTCAAGGGTTACTCCCTGGATTGGGTGCCAATCGAGGCACGACCGCAAGGAGACATCAGCAAACACAGAGGACAGCATTCCTACACCGTCGTGGACGCAGATTGCAAAGTCGAAGTGTTGCTTAGACTTCGAGCCTTCTATGTCAAGAAGTGCAAAGCAGGATTTCCAGGACCAATCGGTCAAGTGAACACCAAGAAGTTTTCATCGGTGGAAGAGACGTGGAATGCTGTGAAGACTCGCAGCGGTTTCCTTTCCTGAGCAGAGAAAGGATCAGGTAAGAGCTAGCTCGGGCATCCCGAGGCCGGCGTCGTGCAATGCGAGCATTGCATGATTTTGAGAAGTCTTTACATGGCTGCGTTTACAAGCAGCTCCGCCACCTTTACGCCGATTTATGTGCAGTACGCAGGCCTGTATGACACATAGGCATAGGCATGCTGCAGCGATCGACATGTGAAGTCATGTTCCTAGAGCTCGCGTTTCCGCAAGGTGTGACGCCCGTGCTGAAAATTCCTCGCGAATGCTGTGGTGTGCTTCGTTTCTGCGAGTCTCTCTTACAGCTCTGTGCATGCTATATAGCGATCGCCCGCTACTGTGATGCGCAAGCTTTTGCATTTTTAGCGTCTGGGCCGACTATATCGAACGAGAACAGCTTGAGGCTATCCCATTTAGAACACATGCAATCAAAGGACCGTGTTTGGCCCAAAGTATACACAAGAAACACAAACACACGCAAACCCACACTCACACACACTATGTAGGTGCGTGTAGTGCTGTAGTTCTCGCATTACAATCAACCCAAACAACCCCGAACCCTAAACCCTTGATTGGCCCAAACAGAGTCAGTTTGAAAAGCATATCCATACCATGGGGGTGGCAGCTTGCCACATCATGGCTTCTGTTGAAGTCGTCATGGGGTGGAGGCACGCGAAACGAGTGCTTCATGTCACATAAATCAAATCCTGATTTGAAAATATGGCTGGAGGTACCGGGGCGGAGTACCTCCAGGGCCTCGCAGCTCCGGTTGGAGGCTGGAGCGCGGTGCTTTTGTAGCAGATGGAGGTGTGTTTGGATGGGTGTGTGTGTGTGTGGGCACATGTGCATGTGTGCGTGTGCGTGTGGGCTTGGGTGCTGGGTGTGGGTGCGGGTGTGCGTGTCTGTCTGTCTGTCTGTGTGTGTGTGTGTGTGTGTGTGTTTGTGTTGTGTGTGTGTGTGTGCACGTCTCCGTGTGGCACGCCTGTCAGACCACCCTCGCAGCTTTTGCGGTTGTAGCGCAGCCTCCGTGATTGCGTGTGATCCAAGTAACGCATGTCTTGCAAGTTGTGGTTCATATAAAAGCATACACAACCCGGGGTTGTCAGAGGGACAAATAAGCCAACGGACGCGCACATCCCGATCCCTGGCACCATGCCGATGAAGAGACGAGCTGGAGAGCGTTCTACAGCTTCTACGGCTAGCTTCAATGGGGAACCTATTACACGCGAAAGCCAAAGAAGGTGGATCATGTCCGGGCTTGCAGCCCTGCGGGCTCCTATCGTTACTTTGGCATGATAAGTTGAGACTATAGGTAGAAGCAGTAGCTCAAGAAAAGGTTTGGGTGCCGCTGCCGATACAGGTTTGCTGTGTGCTGGCCAACATGGTCTTCGAGCTTCCTGGTTTGGAATGGAATCATCCAAAGGAGCACGTTGAATTCTTTTCTGGGGCGATGAGTGTTACCCGAGCTGAGATGCAGGCTATGCTCTCATGCATGCATACAGTGTTTTTTATGCGCTCGTGTTCATTGCAAGAAATCCCGCCCTGTATAGGAAAAGCGAAGCTGTGTGGCATACGACATTGCCTACGACGGGGCATGGATGGACATTCTATCCCCACAGGGGTACGCGCATGCCCTTTTTCAGGTGTTGAACTTGGTGCCAGGGTCATTTTTGACCCTGGCACCAGTTTGTTCGACATGGATCTTTTTGTGTTTCGGCTGCATCTGATATGTTGGAGTAGATGCAATACAGCACTGACGGGAAACGTGTAAGCATCCTGAGCATCAGGTCCAGAGCATCGACAGGACGAAGCAAGGCCCGACCTCTCGGCCGTGCCGAATTCGATTCTGTCGACGAAGGAAATCGCATGGTCGCTCGAGTAGCTCTGTTGCTGTTTTTGGCATATGCAAAGAAGATCCATGTAGTGATGGAACAGCCTCGGGGCAGCTTGATGGAGATGCATCCAGCGATGCAGAAAGTGTTCAAGAAGTTGCGGTGGTTTAAAGGCAACATCTCGATGCGTGACTTTGGGGGCCCGACGGACAAGGGCACCTGGTTGTATTCCAGCGTGGGTCCTAATTGTTGAGTCAATTTGAATAACATGCTGCTGTTGTGGGGTCTGTCGGTTTGGCTAACGTAGAATGGGTGGGGTGGGTTGGGGTGGGTAGGGGTTGGAAGGGTGGGTGGGGTGGGATTTTGAGGTCACAAATTCATCGATGAGATCCACCGCTTCAAGCCTCTTTACGTGAAGGAGCCAGACGAGCACGTACATATGGTGACACGTACCAGGGATGCTGATGGCACAGACCGTGTGACTGGAGGGTCCGATTTGAAGGGCTCGCAGGCATACCCAGAACCGTACCTGAACTGCAAAAGCTGCTACTACTACTACTGCTACTACTGCTACTACTGCTACTGCTACTACTACTACTACTACCACTACTACTACTATAGTATACTACTACTACTACTACTACTACTACTACTACTACTACTACTACTACTACTACTACTACTACTACTACTACTACTACCTGCTATTACAATTTCTGCTCAGGTTTGGCACTGCGCTGGCGATGTTGCGCAGCTCAAAGCGCAAAGCTGTTCGTAACCGAGCCACTAAGTTTCTGAAGACGGCCAAGAAAAAGGCGAGTGGTTCATCTTCGGTGAACTTCCGTAAAGATCAGAAGCAGCTGCGCCAGTGGACACGTGACGCCGATTTGTCACCAGTTTTTCAATGGTTGAAATGCAAGTAATTCAGGGCTGCCAAAGCCAAACGAATGATGCAAAGCTGCACAGCAATTCGTAATGTGCCGTTTCGTGTTGCCTGCAGGATCCACTGCAGCAAGATTATGAATCGGCGGCAGTCTGATAGTGCGTGGTGTCAAATGCAGGAACGAGTTGTTGCTGCATGTTCCTTTCCATCCGCCCCCAAACATTCCGGGTGCAGAACAAAACCATCTTAGAAAAACACACTATTGTCTCAAGTTCAGTTGCGTCGTGCTTCCAAACAACCTATCCTGCAGGCATGGGCCGCTTGGTCTTGAAGCACCTCGATTCTCACGATGGTGCGACCACCCTGCTTGAGTTGTGCTAGTAGTAATAGTAGTAGCAGCACCAAGAGTAGTAGTACGTAGGAGTAGTAGTCGTTGTACATGCATGTACTAGTACTAGTCCTGGTAGTACTAGCAGTAGTAGGAGTAGCACTAGGACTAGCATTCGTATTATGTTTTTGTTAATATAAGTAGCAGCAGCAGCAGTAGTAACAGTAAAGTCGTAGAAACAATATTAGAAGTTAATTGTAGTTGAATAGTAGTAATCGAAATAGCAGCAGTAGTGGCAGTAGGAGGTAGGAGTCGTAATAGTAGTAGTATAGCAGTAGTAGTAGTAATAGTAGCAGTAGGAGCAAGAGTGGGAATGTGAGAAGCAGCGGTAGTAGTAGTTAGTCGTAGTAGTAGTAGTAGTAGTAGTAGTAGTAGTAGTAGTAGTAGTAGTCGTAGCAGTAGCAGTCGCAGTAGCAGTAGTAGTAGTAGTAGTAGTAGCAGTAGTAGTAGTAGTAGTAGTAGTAGTAGTAGTAGTAGTAGTAGTATCAGTAGTAGTAGCCGTCGTCGTAGTCGTAGCAGAAATAGATAGTTGGAATGGGGGGTAGGGGGGGTGAAAACCCTCCCGGTTTGGGCCGCGCGAAACCGGGAATTAGTTTCCCTTTGACCGCCCCCATTGGTGGTGGGGAGGGAAACCGGCTGAGGCTCATGATGTTCGCGTTGATTTCGCCCCAAACCCGGCTGATGCTCATGATGCTCGTTTCTGGTGGGGGCTGTTTGCCTACGCTCTTCGATTTGTGGGGCCTTTTGGAGGGGTGGGGTGGGGTGGTGGGGTGGCTTGGAGGGGGTTTGGGGTGTGGTGGGTGATGGTTGTGGGGGATGATGCAGGGTTCGTGGGGGTTGAGTGGGGGGTTGGATTGGGGGTTCAAATCAGTCGTATCGTGATACGAATGAAAAAGGGAGGTTTGGAGGGGCTTGGAGGGAAGGGTGTGCTATTAGTATTCATACAAGTATTAGTGGTAATAGTAGTGATAGTAGTACTAGATAGTAGTACAGGTCGTGATAGTAGTACTGGTAGTGCTAGTAAAGTAGTACTAGTAGTACTAGCGGCAGCAGCAGGAGTGGTAGTAGTAGTCGTAGTAGTAGCAGTAGTATAGTAGTAGTAGTAGTAGTAGTAGTAGTAGTAGTAGTAGTAGTAGTAGTAGTAGTAGTAGTAGTAGTAGTAGTAGTAGTAGTAGTAGTAGTAGTGGTAGTAGACAGTAGTAATAGTAATAGTAGTAGTAGTAGTAGTAGTAGTAGTAGTAGTAGTAGTAGCAGTAGTAGTATAGTAGTAGTGGTAATAGTAATAATAGGAGTAGTAGTCGTAATAGTCGTAGTAGTAGTAGTAGTAGTAGCAGTAGTTCGAGCCGCCACAAGTGCTCAAGCGGCCGCGCTGAATGAGAGGTTTCGAACAGGCTTGGGGCGCAACTGCTGTGCTAGAGGTTCCTACCGGGCCCTTTTCTGAACAGTAAAGGTTTGCGCCTCCTTCTACGCCATGGTCCTCTCCCTTTTCTCACAGGAGCTGCTTTGAGCCGCCAGGTCCCAATTCCTGGGCCCAGACTCTGTTTAAAACATTGCAACACTGGGTAGGCGGTAGGGTTTCCACCTCCGCGCGGTGGAGGGAGTCATTAGGCTTCTGTCTCTTGACGAAAGTAGCGGATGGCGCAATTGCCAGTGCACTCACAAAACTTTGCATCTCTTCGTAAGAATTCGTTCAAGACAGCATGTAGAAGGACAGTCCGTAGTGACGGGCCCGTACCATACCGAGGGCAGGTTCTGACACCTACCCTAGTTGATCGTCTGGGGGTGCGCCCCCCACCCACTCGAAGAGAGCTTCAGTCACAGACTGCTGACTCCCCTGCATATGGCACAGCCTCCCGCAGGGCAGGAAGGTTGGAAAGATCCATTCGAGTTCTTTCGTGGAACG